GCCCACCTGGGTTGGTGAGAGCATTCACCAACGAAATTGGCTCATTCTACAGAGAGTTTCCAGTAGTAGCTTCAGAGTATATCTATAACCCATCAGAACTGAGTATCTTGATGCAGATTAGTCTAATACCTTGTGTTTCCAAGTTTCCATTTCCATAGTAATTAAAGTCTTCAAGAGGGCTATGCTTTCATAAATGCTATTCTTCTATCATACCATCAAACACTCTTGACTCATACCAAAAAATAAAATCACTGATGTTTTTGTAAAGAGCCCGAACAATGTCAAAATGAGGTATGACCTAGATATTGTTCCTTAATGTTTGAAATCAGACTGTTTGGAAATACTCTCCGATAACGGAAATCCCAGAAGGTGATGATGGAAAGGATGATAAGTGGAATTACATACTCTGGAGGGGCATGAAAGAGGAGTGAGATGGTTTGAATCGAGTTCAAGTTTCAATCCAACGGAAAGCAGCTATTCTGGCTGTTGATACAAAACATATTGAAATCCAGATCTATAAGGTGTTATAAGGAGAGGAAGAGGAAAACTTCTTACGTGTGCAAGGACACTTACTTAAGTAAGTGTAACTTAAGTTAAGTAACTCTGCCCTCTTCCGTAAAAATCACCTGCTGGCTCCAGTGAGCCATCCTGGTCAAAAGAGTTACTCATCCGCTTTGGAATCACCGTATCGACAGTGGCAAACACTTAAAACTTCTCAGGGGACACAGCGCTGCATGGCTGTCCTGTAAACTTTTCTGGGTTTAGTCTCATCTTTTCAATGTAAATCTTTTACATTGTCTGTCAGTTTGAGTACTCTTCTCTGAATGGCTTTCGTTTTATCTATAATTTGCTTAGAAATAAAAGTGATCATAATATAAGTACTCTAAAAGAAGACTTATAAAGCCACATTATGGCTGTTCTGCCACCTTCCAAAGTTTATTTTCTTACTTCTTGGTCTGTCCCTGTCTATGGTTTTCAAAGAACAGCTGGTAATAATGTTTAAGTTACAGCGGATATGAACCAATCAACAGATCTTTCTTATTTAAATATGCATTTTTAATACTGTCCACAGCTGATTTTCTCCTCGCATCATGCTAGAAAATTATTATGTTTTTTAATGGGTTTGTCTCCTCTTTTCTCTGTTATTGACTAACTGGAATATTTGGACCTATACGCATTTTCTATATCACTGTTTACCTAGCTATTTTTCCTATGCATTCATCAATGTTTTTGTGATTGATATTAGTATGTATTTGTAGAAACAGAAAGCAAGACAAATTATAAAACAGAAAGTACAAAAATAGAAAATAAAAAGTCACAAAGACAACTTAAAAAATGCTAGTATTTGCACTGATCTTCAGGACATATGACTAGCCCTACCCTTTAGTTGAGAAGTAGAATCTTTCTCCCTATATCTTCTCATTAGTTCCTAACCCTGGAAGTAGTTTCTTTATGATAACGTTTTTTTTATAATCCTCAAAGAATGGATATATTTTTCAGAGACACAGTTTTAAGTTAAGAAATTCTTCTTTTGTCTGCTAATTTAACTAATTTACCTAGTGCTGGTTTTATCTGTTTGTAATTCTTAGGGTTTCCCACATCTTTTCCAATTGCAAAGCTAAAGATGCTATTACCTATACTCTTCATTTGGTAATAGGTAGTACATGTCTATTTTGCAGCACCTCACATACTTGGTTTTTACATTCATTTTAAATGTCTGTGTTTCTGATTTATCACTTCATTGTCTAAAAGCTCCCAAGAACTAATGTATCATTATAATAACCTTGTTACAAAGACAAGGATTATCTAATTCTGTGCTTTTGATGGCAAGCTATTTAGTTACTGACATGAAGTATTTGGAGGAACTGAACAAAAGTTTCCTGTGGTACCTTGAATTCTATGTTTCAAACTGCCTCGATGATGGAGGGATTCAGAACCTCTGTGTTGATCATATTTAACAATTTGTCATATATCACCTCAGTTTAACACCTCATTTTTATTAAATGTGAAGGATTGTTTTAGGATAGGACTTTCACATTGCTGAGTATTAAAGACTAATGCAAAGGGTTCTCTAGATTACCCTTATCCTCTGATCTTCTACTGTTTTAACCTGCCCACTTCGTTTGAATTTCTTTCTGCTGCTAGCAATATCCAAGTAGTAGGTTTCTTTCTCAAGCTATATTTGAGACGAGGAAATCAGGGTCACTATTATGTTTGAGAACAATTTTAATTATGCAGTAGTTTTCTACAAAGATCAAAAGAAATCAAATCCCGCATCTTCATGTAACATTTATTATTTAGAATGAAAGAACAATTTCATAAGCTTGCAGCAGCTTATGAATGACCACTAGCAGAAGATTGGGTTTTGCATGAAGTTATTAATTTTCAGCAAAGGGCTACCACAAGGAATGATAATTTTGGTTTTTTTACACTGCCCCATGCATGGAAGGCTCTCTCTGCAAATTGACGAGTCCGCCAGGGACCACCTCTCACAGGGTTTTGTTAGTAAGTAATGAATTTCTAAGACAGTGACAAATCAATACTTTGATGACCTGATGCTCATAGCCCACCTGTAGCATCTTTATTTTGTGTTCTAGAAAGCTTACTGTGCTAGGCTTTACACCTATATTTGATGTATTTGTATGGTGCATGCCACGAGGAAGACTTTAAAAGGAGCAACAAAATCTTAGCATGCAAAGAAATATTAGCATGTGAATAACAATATTTTGTTAATAGAGCTTTACATGAAAATTTGCCCAAGCCATGGAATTTTTAAATTGTTTACATGTGTGATGTGAAATTAGCATGAAATGGTAAATAATGCTGCAGTGCTTTTTTGTGGAAGTAACTCATTATCTTTCACTTAAAAAGCCTGCAATGGTGTGAGACTGAAAACAACAAGCTCAAAACTTTGCCTGAATGAAAATTATCCCATGTTTCTAAAAAGTGTTACCAAAAACTATTTCCCTTTGCCACAGTCTGTTTAATTTCAACTGTGTGCCAATTTACAAAAGTATTTTATAGTTTTCTGGTTACTTTCACCAGTAACCAAACACAGTCTTGACCCTTTTGCATACATGAAAACAGCCAACCGTGAGTGCAGCAATGGGAGGTCTGGCCTTTCAGGTATGTCAGCTGAAGACCACCCTACTGGAAGAGGTAACAAGAACAAAAAGCCGAGGTCAAACAAGGCAGCCCCATGTAATTAGATACTAATAGTGGATTTAGGGTGTAAAATTCACTTAAAACCATACAGCAACAGACTAAACAATCCCAGTAAGAATGGCAAGTTTTGTTCTAAAAAAATGTTTTTAATACCAGAAAGCATAAATAAGACATACATAATAACCTTGACTGACAGACTGCACTAACCTGCAGTAACATCTGCTTCCACATTATTTGCTATAGGTTTGGGATAGCATAATTATAAAACTCTGAAGCTCTACTGTAACTTATAGTACAGTGTGCATCCAATTTCCTGAATTTATTATTGAATTCATTTGATGTCCCAATAACAGTTTTTGGAATTTACATTCTGACAAGAAAATAAATTCCTCTCTTAAACAGTCAACAGCAAAACTAAAAATGCAAGCCCAACTGTATCTGATGCTAATGGGGAAACATGCTGAAGTAGATGCTGAACAAATAATCAGTTGCTTGTGCAGGGTATGATGGGGTCCAAGTAATTAATATGACAAACTTAATTTCTGTTGGCCCTTTCATTTTGTGTTAATTTCTCATGCCTTTGCAGGATAGATGTGGTACCTTCACATGCCACAGACGTGGTCTGACAGAGCAGCAAGATCCATCGTGAAGAAAATGGTATTTCTCCAGATAAAGTGAGTATCTGCTAGTCACCTGCTCTTATTGCTGCTGGGGCCCCTGGGTCATGTTGGGAACTGTCTTTTTGCAGTCTTTCCAGATTCCCTAATATTTTCATAGCTCTAGCTGCTCTGCAAAGATCACATCTCAAGAAACTCTGGTTTGATAATTTTCATTTATCCTCATTTTACAACTGGTAAATCAGTCTAAATAATTAAACCAATCATATTAATTCTGTGTCTTATAAATCATCTGAGTGGGATTTATAAGCCTTTTGGAAAAAGTGCTTTAAGAACTGTTAAAGAATTTAGTGTATTTTTGGCACACAGTCCAAAGGCACGTGGTTTCCTTCCTTGGTGCTCCAAACCTCCCCAGGGAGAGGCAGGTAAATGCAGGGATATGCAAGGAAACCAGTAAGCAGTGACAATTCACACCCACTGAGGATTCAGTCCTCTCTATTATTCTCTGTTGGAGGTATCTCCTATACAGCAGAAGATACGTTTGGGAAAGACTGAATTTGTCCCTTAGAGCTTACTTAATGGCAAAAGTGACATTGAGGAAGGGAGACCGGAATGATCAGGATGGCTTGTCCAGTAGCTAGTACTGTCAAATTATTTTCTGTCGTAGCTTTTCAGTATACAGGGTAGGTGTTGTCAGCCGCTACTAACCTTTCGAGCCAGCTCCCATTGTGCACTGTCCCACCACAGTGGCAGGTAAGGAAGCAGTAGCGCTGGGGAGAATTCCAGCATCTGCCTTCCACTGATGCTGCGTAACCTCTGTGATACCTACAAGTCATTCAGCTTCAGAACTACCAGGACCATTCTTGCACTGGTCCATATGGTTCCACACTAAATACATCTACACTTCTATGAAAACATGCAAAGAATGTGAATCTAGGTGGGGAAGTGGGCAGCATTTAGCATAATGTCAGAGAGTAAAAATTTCCTGAAGTTAGTGTTGGTTACACCTCTGTTGTTCTGCCATTCACTTTCTATGAGAGAGTGACTACTCGCTGCTGATGGTACATTTGCTTTTAGGAAGCCCCTTGCATTGAGAATTTCCCTTCTTAGTGAATGTCACTGTTGCATAATTCAGACACATGGAAAGAACTACATTCACCTTTTGTTTTTTAACCTGTTGAAGGAAGGACCGATCTTAGTGAGAAATGCGATGCTCACCTTTTTGGGTCAATGATCTTGTAGAGTTTTCCACTGTGAGGCTGTGTCATACTTTTACTGCTTGACAATATGTAAATCTCACCTGTTAAAGAAACCAACACAATAAATTAGTACTCCTTTCCTAAAATGTCAAAGACAGCACTTTTGTAATCTAGCTGTATTTGCAAGATGAGAGTAAAAAAACTTCACAATAAACGCTCATCACTGAAATATACAACAGAATCGTTGCCATCTGAAAATTTAAATAAGCACGTTCCCCAAATTGATGCTAAAATGTGAAAGATACTTTATCATCAATCTTTTTGTTTCATATTGTATAGAATTGGTTAAAAAAAATGAGGGAGGAAGGGAGAAGAGGGGGATCAGTCTGGTCATGCAATATCTTTGCTCCTTAAGTCTGTAATGTTGGGAATAAAAGCAAGTATATGACACATCGTGTCATAGTGGGTGACACTGTTCACAGAATGTGAGACAGTAAAGACCTTTGCCCCTTGCAACAACCCATTCTCTTCTTGGTTCTTTTTACAATGCTGATAAGGTGTAGTTGAAAGCAGCGTAGACAGCTTTGGCAAAGGAAAGATAGCCTTCAGATTTCTTCTTTTTAAACATTTA